AAAAAAAAAAAAAAAAAAAAAAAAAAAAAAAAAAAAACAATAAGGAACGGAAGCAGTATAAGCTAACTCAGAATTTGTGATCTTGAGCGTTAAAAAGTTAAGAACAAATCATGTAGTATTGTAATCAGGAAGGACTGGATCGTATTACTAACATTGTTTGGAGAAATTACAGGAATAGATCACTACAACAGGGCTAGTTTACATCATTGGATATATGAAAGTGGAATTACAAAACATATTTGGAATCTGCATCTGATAGTTATTAGAGGCATACTGATTTTGAATCTAAATTCAATGGTTATTAGGAAGCCAGAAATTTCCTTCTCTTTCCCTCCATTTTCTGATCAACCAAGGAACGATCATCTTTATACCAAAAACTGGTTTACATACTTTCTAAATATTACTATCTTTGGAAGAGAACTACCTTTTGAACGAGATTAGTAGTCCCTTTACCCGCTTGGAGAGGAATAGTTTCATTCAAGGTCACACAAGTTTCTTTCTGGCTCAACTCTCCGCATCTCCCGCATTTGACCTTCAAATCGAACACATAACACAAATAAGATGATATAATAACCAATCAGTAGCAGCAGAGAGAAAAAGAACAAACTCAAGAATCATAAATATACAATACATGATGTATTCGGATCGGTTCCAATACACAGATGTTAAGATTTTAGGGATAAAACTGAAGAAACGACCATATTATATCAAACCAAAAGAAGGATGATGAAGAGGAACATGCTAACAAACAAAATTCCAGCTACGGAGGTTGTACACAGGGAATTCCACAAGTTCAAGTGAATGAATTACAAATTCAGTAAGCGATTCAAGAAAAACCACGGCAGAGAAATGGAAATGAAATGAAAGATTAAAAAAAAAACTACATTGGATGATTATTAAGGGGATACTTTGAAAAGGTAAGGGAAGTTGGGATCATCGCAACCATCTTGGGGCTGAAGATTCGTGAGGTTCTCGAGCTCCGCTTTGATCTTAAGCAAAAAATTCACCATTCTTGAGCGGCTTTGCTTAATCACACTTTCACTTCGACAATGCGTGGAAGTGGAATTTTGGATTTAGAATTTGGGAAGACGCACCATGGGCTCTGGGTTCGGTATGAGTACATGAACCAAACCCGACCCGACCCGACCCGGTCTAAGATTCAAATTCCATCTTGGTTATATTATAAATTAGGCTGAATTAATAAGAACCCTAGACTTCATATTTATCTCAAACTAACTTTATTGAAACTTTCAATAATATTTAAAAAATACTCTTTTCATTACGAATTGTAAAAATGTGGTTTTTATAAACGATTTTGACTCAAAATCCCCACTGCACCACACCCATATGTCGGAAACTCTCCTGGTACCTGATGATGCACCACACCTACATGTCGGAAACTCTCCCAGTACCTGATGATGCACCACACCCACATGACGAAAACTCTCCCAATACTTGATGATAATTGATAAGCGACTCTTTGAGACGTACGGTGAGGTGAGTTACTAAGTCTTTAGAGTGATAAGTATCGAAAGTCTATGTATTAAAGTTATTTAATATAGAGTTCCGAACGTCTGTGTTTGGAATACGATCGTTATAATATGAACTATTCATAGAAGAACGGGCTAATAATCACACATGAAATGAACAACTGGGTTTGAAATCAACATTCATAGATACCTCACTCATGTTTCCCAGTGCATTGACATGTAAATCTCCAGATATATATATACACATATGAATAAACTAAACTGTGCTGAGGTTTTGTAAAATGAACCAAAAAAGCAACATAGTGAGACAATTCAAAGAAAATTAAGGTAACAGAGAGCAAAAAGGAGGGGACAAGAACTGGCTAAATTGAGTCATACTGTTTTCTCTCATTTTGAATCGATTGGAAAATACGAGCAGCTGATTCGTTCGCCGATCTCCGATTGTGTGGCACGACTCGAATCACCCGTTTCGTTTGGTCGGAGTCTGAAGGTTGAGGGCCTTCCTCTGTAAGTGGCTGAGCTATAGGGAAAAGTGGAAGCACGTCGTGGCTTTCAGCGGTTCGATTCGCTTCGTTTCCTTGCAGTTTTCCAGGAGGACTACTTGCAGTACTTGCTTGTAGCTCATTGCTTTTTGGTGCTTGAGACTTTGCAGTTAGTGAAACAGTTTCTTGATTTTCATCTCTGTCTCTCTGTGTTGAAACATCATATGATGTTTGATGCTGCATATAGTAAGCAGCCACACCTCCCGATAACTGATTCTGATCTCCCGTATACCAGTTAACTTGATCGAGGGGCAAACCCGACATACCAGGATTCATCACCGGCATGCCATAAGGGTGGAAGTAAGTACCACCAACCATGGGAGTACTAGGAAGCGCCCCAATTCCATGATGAGCAGAAGCTGGAAATCCGTAGGACGGATTCATGATTGGAGTCATCGGACCATAAGGTGCACATCCTCCATACATGAATCCGGGCGCAGGGTAAGGCTTATATACGAGTCCTTCAGAAGGAGACAATACCGGGACCAGCCACTGATGTGCTGCAGATGGCTGGTACCAACTGCTTAATTTATTATCAGCGGAAACAGACGTTGGCTGTCGATTTACTTTGTAAGGCCCGTTCGTTGAAGGCTGACAACAGACCGGTGCAACCGGTGCAGGAGAAAGAGAAGTCTTCCCAACAGCGTTCTCTGCTGAACATTCCACATTGTGTTTTGGCTTCTTCGGGTCATCATTGTGCTTAAGCTCGACGTGCGATTTGATGGCGTAATCTGAGCTAAGTTTCTTCGTAGGAAGACGACTTGGAGGAGAATTGTCCAGAAAAATCCCATCTTCAAATAAAAGATGAGGTGATCCAGCAATTAAGCGTTGGACCTGTTTGCATAGACAAGTTTAGAGAGTGTGAACAATTCGATCACAAAAGCTGCTATTTGAAGAAATTAGATCACTTTACCTTGATAAGTCTATGCAATTCGAACACTTGAACATCAAATACTCTTTGTTGACTGTAGAGTAACAAAAGTTGAAAGAACAAATCAAATCGCTACATATTGAACGTAACAGCAATAATCAATTCATAGCACGAAAACAGGATCAGCTCATAGACATATATCATGGTAAAGTAGTCGCCTACATTACGAGGCGTCCCAGAGCTTAGCAATCGGCTGAACCGACATTTGCAAGGTTTAGCTCATTCAAATGATAATAACAAGAAATGTTAGCAAATACACACTCTTCTTAAGTGGTGAACTCTTTAGTAAAAGCGAAAGATCTAAAGAAACACGAATTTCACCGATAAAATCGATTATACTAAATCTAAAGAAGTTCTGTACTGTCAAAATATCCACCAACGAATGCTCCTGAAATCCTTCACACGGAGCTCCATTTCTGGTCTCAGCCCCCAAGTGCCATGGAAGTTCTTTCCAAGTGAATACAGAAAAGGGAGACCGAGCAGTACTCAACCGAGACAGTCATATATATTTACACAAAGCGGAATCCAATGGACAATGAATGATCAGATAATCAGTTGTCTCGGAGGTTGCCCGGAAAAAAGTAAGTGTATGCACATTGCATAGTTCCTGCTATAAAACGATCCAGTAGCCATGTCAAAATATTATTAAGGGCTACAAAGATTCACTTAAATGGGTACCTGAGATTATGAGCTCTTACCTTCTCTAAAGCATAAGTGATTCGTCATTCAAAAATATCGAACATTATTTCTTGAACAAAGAATTAAACGAACGAACGATGTGAGAGCAAAAATTCACAAGGGATTAGACCATTGAAAAGGAATTGCTAGTACATGAAATGCATATTATCTAAATTCTTGAATTTATATTGCCACAGACACAGATAGCATTCAATTTTGATACCATTTATAAGAAAAAAGCATGGCACTTTAGAATCATATCGCCCCACGGAAACAGAAAAGAGAGCTATTTAGCCGAAAACTTACTTAATAATTGCTCTTCTGGCTTTCCAGAAGCGTTTTTGACCTATTAGCCCTACAACATCATCTGGACAGATATCCGAGCCAGAAATTGAGTCGACCATTGAATTCTCAGAGACAATGTCACTTTTGTCTGCATTCCCCACGTGCACGGAACTATGAGTCCTATCTACACGATTCTTAATGTTGTCAACAGGCATGTTCAAGTTCTCATTCTTTTCCAAGGAATGGGAGTCCACTCTTGTGCAGGGAACACTGTCTACCACTCGAAATCTTGTAGGCTCAATAACGTCCTCAACAAGTCCACTCTCATCCAATTGAGTGCTGGAACTAGAATGTCTCTGTAATTGAACATCACTATCTTGCAACTTGTCAACACTAATGTTCGATTTATCTTGAAATTCTTGATCTTCAGATACATTAGTTTCCTTCTGAAGTCCATCAGTACCCTCTCTATCCAATAAATTTGTCGTGGACTTCGCAGAACCGTCCCTACGTTTGTCATTCACTGTCTTCCTAGTTGTTACTTCTCGACTTGATTGGGCAACAGAGGATGATTGCAAAACTGTAGAACAATCAGAATGTTTTGATCCAGGAAACGACAATTGTTCCTTATGGTCACTATTTTGAACTCTATTTTTACCCATCTCTGATTGGTTGTATACTGGAACCGTAAAATCGTCTTCATCTTCTACTTCTGCTGTCTGCTGCCTCCGCTCGAGCTGTACCGATGCAGGATTCACATTTACTTCACTAGATGGGTGAGCATGTGAATTTCCAATCTGATTAGGAGTCGGGGAAGACGAGTTTAGCCGCAGATTTCCATCAGTTCCTCTACCCTGAAAAGATTTTTAACGATCATACTCTCAGGAATCGACTAGCTCGATATTAAACATAAGAACATAAACTCAGATTAAAAGCTGAACTACCCGAAAAGTCAAATTTCAAATATATCAAACAGAAACTCAAATCTACCTGGCTTGAGGATGGTGCGGTGAGTGGCTTTCTGGAGATGTTTGTGGGGAGAGGCAAAACCCCGGGAGTGGAACGTTTTAATGGTACAGTGAACTGTTCATACAGGGCCATCTTATTCCTTGGAGGCGCTCTAGGACATCCTTTCTCGGTATCATTAATATGGAGCCTAGGGAACATAGGTTCCATTCTCTTCTCATCATCCCTTCCTCTCTTCATCTGTTCTTCGCTCAAATTCAACGCAAAGTACGATTACAGAGATATGTGTTCCCACTCATTTCAGTCTCATATCAAATTAGCCCCTCAAGAAGCTTAAGACTAACCTCTTAAGTCGATAAAATCTATACAACAGCCCAATTTCATTAATAACCAGAAGTTATCCACCTGAAATCAGCTCGGAAATCTACAAACCCCAGAAAACCAGTTCATAATCTTAAAAATTTCTTGACTCGAACTTTCGTAGTCCAAAATACAAACAATCCAATGGACAAAATAGAAGTCTGTTTCAGTATGAAGAACAACTTACCCGGAATTCAAATCCGATCCAATTAAGCTCGAACTTCAGACGGAAATTGATGGATACAACGGAAGAAGGATATGAATCGTTGAAAAACAAAGAGAGAGAGGGGAAGAACATCAACGGAGTAAGAACAACGATGAAAGAGGAGAATCAATAGCGCAATAACGGAATCGGGAGGAAAGAGAAAGATGAAGAAGGGGTAAGGCTTAATTCATGGATTTCTCTGAAATCATAGACTCCAGAAGAGAAAAGGGGCAAAAGTGCGAAGTCGTGGGCCCTCTTCGGATTGAGCTACAAGATCCTTTTAGATATAAAAACAAGATCTTCGTTTTCTACCCAACGCAATACTTAGTAAAAATTTTAAAAATAAATAAATACTATATGTATATATATATATATATATATATATATATATATATATATATATATGTATGTACATGTAAATAAATATGTAACGCATGCTACGTTATTTTATTTTTATTTCTTCGAACATCGTAAATTTTGTGCAAATTTTATTAATATAATTTAATTAGTTAAGATATAAGTAAAATTTCTAACGACTTCCAAGTATTTTGTTAAGAATGAATAGGCTTGACTCGTATTAGGTAATGGAGTTATCATCAATATGTTTGATCTCACTGTTTTATAAGATT